AAATGTGTGTCTTGATTGAAAGTGAAAAGTTGAAAAATAATAGACCTGTAACAATGCATTCTTTAGTGCTATTACTGCTACCTTTTTTGTTTTCCTGGGGGAGGGTAGGCAGGCATATAAGATGCCTGAATATGAGTTTCTTATTTTGGAAACTTAAGTCACCCTAGAGCTTGAAAACTTTGACTACCATTGCTGTTTTTAGCCTTGCAACAAACCTGAGCTTTTATCACCTGTTGACTTTTTTTTTTAAATATACTAAATGTGGGTTTTGAAAGTTGAAATCTCCTTGGGGGATAATAAGTTTCTTATGAAGAGCCACTTGTGACTAACTTTTGGCTGTTGACATCTACTGCCTTATGTGGTTTTTCCTAATTGAACAAGCAAACGAAATTTTGAATACTCCCCTAAATTTTCAGCAGTGATATAAGTTAAACTTATGCACATAAACACCATGAAGTATTTTAGAAAGAGCAGTAGATTTGGAATCCAAGGACCTGGGTATGGATCCCAGATCTGGATCTTAACTTTGTTTGTGAGTTTAAGTTACCTAACCTCTTGGGTCTCCATTTCTTCATCTCTAAGATGAAGGGGTTGAACTAGATCAGGGGTGGGGAATCTGCGGCCTCGAGGCCACATGTAGCCCTCTAGGTCCTCAAGTGTGGCCCTTTAACTGAATCTAAACTTCACAGAACAAATCCCCTTAATAAAAGGATTTGTTCTGTAAAACTTGGACTTAGTCAAAAGGCTGCACCCGAGGATCTACAAGGCCACATGTGGCACTTGAGGCTATAGGTTCCCAACCACTGATGATTTCAAAGATTCCTTTCAGCCTTAAATCCTTTGACTTGCAGTGCAGTAGAGCCTCCCCCAAAGTATGCACTTCAAATTAGAAAATTAAATGAATGAATGAAATAAATGAAAAAAAATTAACGACTTGAAAAGTATTTATTTGGTGTTTACTGTGTGCCAGGCACTGTGCTGAGTGCTGAGTATACAGATAGAAATTGAGGGAGACAGTACATATAAGACAGTACAGCTTCAGAGCAAATGGAAAGACTTGAAAGTCTTAAGGGATGATGCTGTAGAGTGGGTAGCAATTTTTGTGGGTCCTTAGAATACTTGGTGGCATCTCATTTTCGGAAATTTCACTACATCTTGATCTCTCTATTTTGAGAGAACAAGCCCATTGAATAAAAAAAAAAATAAAGTAAAATAAAAATAAAAAGCAAACCCATTGAATGAATGGGGTTTTTTGTTTGTTTTTGTTTTTCAGTTTCCACTGTGTAATAGTGACTTCCCACATGAAAAAGAAAGGTGCTTTGGGGTTTTTATTTACACAATAAGAACAGATTTTTTAAAAGTAATTGATGATTTTTGGAATTTATTTTCAGTTTAAGAAATAGCTCATTCATAATCATAAAATTTCCTTACGCTACATAGTACTATATATAATTTCATTCCCAGGAGTTCAGATTATAAATTTGGCTATCAATGGCCATCATGTTGGGTTCTCCATTTTTAAGTCTTCCTAATATCCCTGAGTTGTGTGCTTAGGGGCGCTTCACTTTTTTTTCCCTAGAACTGTAGTTCAAAGTGTTTTCATTCACTAAACTAAAAATTTGCAGCCTCCAACATCAGAGAATGTTTTAGCCATGAATTTGGGAGCCAGTAAAAAATTGGTCGCCGTGCCCTTATAGCTGAGTAGCTCGAGCTAATAAATTATTCAGTGGTACCAGCACAGACTCTCTGAAATGAATTTTCAGAAATCTTCCCAGCCCTGAAGAAAGGAAGGACACTGTCCCCAGATCCTCATTTAGATTTCTGTCTTTGGCATATAGCAGAAAATCCAGTGTAAACCACCTGCTATGCATTCATTGTAAAATAGAGAAATCCACTGGTACTGGATCCCATTCTAACCAATATGAGCCAGGTAAATAGACTGTGTTATTTTAAATCTTTCTGGCCCAGATATCTTTGGCAGTCCTTTGGGTATTGAATGGTATATTTAAACTTCTGTTGGGGAACACTGGCCTACCATTGGATGTGTATGGATTGTTTTTTAAGTTCTCATTTAGGCTGGGAAGACCACCTCTGAATTATGTCTAAGAATACTTCTCTGTAGTGAGTATTATTTTAATCAAACCAATTTCTGGATTCTGAGCTGTAGAGTTTAATGCTTCCTGTTGTATTCTTGTGTATGGTGCCTGTGTTCCTCTCTTTGCTTTTTTCTTGAGTACCTCTGTTTTGTGTCTTCGTCTTTTGTGCATTGCTGACAAGCAGGGAGAGAGAAATAATAGAGAATTTTAGCTGGAAAAAAGCCACGGGCTTAAAATGAAAGGTTAAGTTTGGTTTCCTAGTATAGGAACATTCATGTTACGTTTTTCAAAAAGTTAATTTTAAAATCCAGGTATCTCATTGTCTTCTTGACAATGATTTTGGTGGAAATAAAAGATGCAGAAAAAATTCTTGTTCATCCTACAATCTCTGAGTAATTTTTATATGCCAGGGGACTGGGCGAGGCTGCTGCATCCGTCTGATCTCTGGTACATGGCTTCCACATAAATGGCTGTTTACTTCAGTGGAATTGATACTATAGAGATAATATAGGGATTGTGTTTTGTACATGTTACCTAAAGATTTCACCTTTACAGGACATGAAAGTTCCTTCCCCTTAAAGGACACATGCAAGTTGCCAAATATGTTAACAGTGAAATTCTAGGGACCTGCTTATTCCCTTCAAAAGAGATCTGAGCTTTCCCCTGGCAAAGTATTTAAGTATTTTGGTGTCTCTGTTGTCCCAGGTACTCCACCCCCACTAGCACATCCCTTCTCTTTTCATAGTTCACTTCCTCTAGGTACCTGAGGATCTTCAAGATGGCATTCCACCTGAGTCTTCCTATAGTGACTGTACCATGTTTTAGAAATGAGTCAGACTTGTCCACTTTAACTTTCTCTCGGGATCCCTTTCTGGAGGAACAGCTAGATAAGCTAATAAACCAACCCCATGATAGTTTTTTAGTGAATGCTAATAGCTTAGAGTTTTAGAATACCTTGTTCCGTCTTGTGTCAGCCTCCCTCTCTCTAATACAGTTATGTTATCAGAGACCCTCTACACACACAATTCCTTAACCCAAAGGAATGATTTTAATGGAAAGAATTTCAAACACTAGAGCAGACCAGTGGAGGAGATGGTTTTTGAAGAGGCAAATTTATCGGCATGTTGCGGAATCATACCACAGAGTTACCCATGTGCCCTATCTGCACGTAGGGTTAGCCTAGCACCCATTCAGATCCACACTACTTTTAATTAGTGCTCTGACCTTGACCTGATTATCAGGCCCCACCTTAGATCTTGTATTTGGGGGTGGAAGGTGGGGAAGGAGAGGCAGAAGGTGGAAATATGGTCCTCTCATTTCCTATTGGTACCCCCATGGAGAAACAGCTTGTATATGGAATTTTACTGTAGTCAGTCTCTTTAGGAATGTGATTTTTCTGTGTCTATAAGAATACTTTTCACTATTGGAGTATCTAGAATGGTAAAATGGAACAGAAGAATGTTTTTTACATTTGGAGCAGCAAAGTGTTTTTCTTCCCTAAATCTCACTTTTCTGCATGGAAGTTAAGATATTAAACTAAAGAACCATAATATTAAATTAAAGAATTTTTACACTTTAACTGGTCCTCAGAAATTATCTCATCCAGACCATTCATTTCACAGATCAAGGAGTGATTCGAGGGAGTGCCAAAAGGCTTTTCTAAAAACACCTTTTCTGCTTTGTGTATTCTAAATGCTTTTTTCCCACCTGAATGCTTCTTGGCCTCACTTATGCTCCAGAATCGATAGCACAACTCAGTGCGAAGCATCCATGCCTCCCATTTCCATCTTGACCATTGGTCAACCCCAACAGGAAGTTCCAAGAGGCTCGTTGACCGGGTGTTTCAATTTACTATAATCTTGAGTTCATATTAAAGGAGATTTTTTTTTTTAGTACCCAAAGGATACTTTGCTGGCTTCCTCTTTTAATCTGCAGCATCCATGAGCTACTTCCCAACACTATATTGTTGTAATTTTTCTGCCTTACTTAATTTGTCCCAAACTCTCATACTTGAGACAGGAATAGGATATTTATTTGCTGTGACATGGAACTCAAAAACTTTTGGTTAAAATTAGGTTAGGAAAGTATTTTGTGTGGCATCGTGGGCTAGTAGAAGAGTACTGAATTGGTACTTAGGAGTCCTATGATAAATGACTTCCCTTCTCCATTTAAGGAGTACCCCCAGTCCAGCTATCTTTTCATTTCCTATCAGGCTGCACCCCTCTGGGCTGTTGTATCATGCCCCAGAAACCTCTTCATCCTGGAAAATGACTTCAGCCCTGGAATTCACACCTCAGTTGTACTCTCTACCCTCAGAGCCATCATGTCCCTAAGGTGGGGTATATTCTCCCTGTCCCTTTTTCATCTTTCTTTTATGTATTGTCTGCCCTCCTTGAGGGCAGAAACTGTCTTTTTGCTTATATTTGTATTCCCAGCTCTTAGCATGGTGCTTGACACTTGAACACTTATTGACTGATTCACTGACTAGTTACCTCAGTTTTCTCAGATGTAAAATGAAAGAGTTGTATCTCGAGGTCGATGCCACCTTGGAGGAAAGAATTGTTCTAATACCAGACTAAAGAATAGCTCAGGTCCAAACCTAAATCTTTGTTGTAGGTAATGGGGGTAATTCATAGAATTGTAAAGCCTAGAGATAGAAGGCATCTTAAAAAACATCTGGTCTCATGGGAAGTGAATTGTCCAAGATGTCTCAGCAGTTTAGTGGCAAAGTCGAATCTAGAATTCAAGCTCCTTACATTCCTGTTGAGAGCTTTTTTCTGTTGAGTTAAATTGCCTTGTCCCCTATTTAAGTGGTTTGATCATTTGGATTTCTGATTTTTCAAGCCAAGTAACAGATGCAGCGTATTATAGCATTGATATTAATCACTTTTTATTTTTTTTCAGCTTGACATATGGTCTAAGTCCAACTATCAGGTGTTCCAAAAGGTAAGTTATGCATTTTGTTTCTTGTTTAAAAAATTTGAGAGACGTTGAAGGCTTTGCTATTTGAGTTGCGGTTTTTAATGAATTTTTTAGTAATAATAATAACTAACATTTACATAGCCCTTACCATGTGGCAGGCACTGTGCTAAGCACTTTACAATCATTATCTCATTTTATCCTCACAACAGCACTGGCAGGTAGGAGTTAATGTTATCCCCATTTCATAGTTGAGGAAACTAAAGCAGACAGGTTAAGTGATTTGCTTAGGATCATACAGCTAGTAGGTATCTGAGGCTATATTTGAACTCAGGTCTTCCTGACTCCAGACCCAGTGCTCTCTGTTACCTATAGAGAGATTCTGATGTCCAGTAGTCAAAATGGTGTTTATTACATGACTACTGAGTATAAAGATCTCTCCAAAATAGCTAGTGATCTCCTTAATTACCAGATACTATGACCTTTTCTTAGTCATCATTCTTCTTGACCTTTTGGTAGCATTGGACACTGCTAACCACCTTCTGTTCCTGGGTATTCTTTCCTCTCTGGGTTTTGGGGACATTACTCTTTTATAGTTTTCCTGGTTGTCTGCTTGCTTCTTTTCTAGATCATTATACATGATGTTCCACACCCCTGCTTATGTACCTCTAGGCTCTCACTAAGCTACACCTTATACCTTTCTATACCCTCTCTTCTCAGTAACCTCGTCAGCTCCCATAGGTTCAGTTATCCTCTCTATGCAGGTAACCTACTACTTGCAAAGCATTCTGGTAGGTACTAAGTCAGTTAATCAGCAGGTATTTATTAAGTACTGGTTATATGCTAAGCTCTCTTTTAGCCAGTGGGTATTCTAGTATCAAGAACGAAACAATCCCTACCCTCAATGAGCTTACATTCCATTGGAGGGATAACAAGTACATATAAAATATGCATATATAAAATAAGTATAAAATTGATAAATATGTACACACACACACGCAAAGTAGTTAAATTGAAAGGTAGTTGGCTTTTTTTTTTTTTGCTTTTTAGTGAGGCAGTTGGGGTTGCGTGACTTGCCCAGGGTCACACAGCTAGTAAGCTTTAAGTGTCTGAGGCTGGATTTGAACTCAAGTCTTCTTGATTCCAAGGCCAGAACTCTATTCACTGCATCACCTAGCTGCCTATTTTTATGTTTTATTTTATTTTATTTTTTTGGAAGGTGGTTTCAGAGGGGTTCCACTCACACTTGGGGGGATCAGGAAAGCCCTCGGGTGGAATATGATGCCTGAGGGGCATCTTAAAGAAAAAGAGGGACTCCTTGGGGACTATGTTCCAGGCATGGGAGATAGCCAGTCCAAAGGTGTGGTGATAGAAATGTACTATTTTGTATGAGCAACAGAAAGAAGGAAGGTTTAGCTGGATTGTAGAGTGACAGAGGGATCCAGTGAGGCTAGAATTAGGGCTGGGTGCTTAATAAATGCTTCCGAATTGATTGAACTATGGTAAGCATTTTTCATGCTCATATGTCCTGAGAGCTTTTCCCATAGCCTTGCCTAGCTAGCCTGAGAGAATCCTGGTTCCCCTTTCCCCCTCTTCAAAGAAGAGTTTCTACCCATTCACTCACCTTTTGCCCAGCTATTCGTTATCCACAACCCCCACAATAGTATTTGGAGCCAACTTCCTTGTACTAATTAAGAAACAGTATATTCCCCCTCCCCTTTTTTAATTTTATTAATTTATTTTGATTTATCAACAATCACTTCCATATGCTTTTGAGTTGAAAATTTTTCTCCCCCTTCCCCCCCCACCTTCCCCAAGATGGTGCACAATCTGATATAGGTTTTACATTTACATACCCATTAAACATATTTTCACATTAGTGAAGTTGTAAGTAAAAATTAAAACCTCCTCCTATTGGAGGAACCCTCAGAAAGATGAAACAAAACTCAACAGAACGTAAAAATAAGTGATAGCAATTCGACTTCCATAGTTCTTTCTTTGGATGTGGACAGCATTTTCCATCCCGAGGCCTCTGGAGATGCCTTAGATCCTCGTAATGCTGAGAAAGGTTCAGTTTAACAATCTTAGTCATTGCATAACATGGCTGTTATTGTGTACAAAGTCCTCTTGGTTCTACTCACTTCACTTAGCATCAGACCATATAAGTCTTTCCAGGTTTTTCTGAAGTCAGCCTGTTCATCATTTCTTATAGCACAATAGTATTCCATTACATTCATATACCACAACTTACTCAGCCATTCCCCAATTGATGGGCATCCTCTCAATTTCCAATTCTTTGCCACCACAAAAATGGCTGCTTATGAACATTTTTGTACATGTGGGTCCTTTTCCCATTCGTTTGATCTCTTTGGGATATAGCCCTAGAAGTGCTGTTGCTGGATCAAAGGGTATGCATATTTTTGTAGCCCTTTGGGCATAGTTCCAAATTGTTCTCCAAAATGGTTGGATCATTTCACAACTCCACCAACAATGTATTAGTATTTCAATTTTCCCACATCTTCTCCAACATTTATCATTTTCCTGTTTTGTCATGTTGGCCAATCTGATAGGTATGATGTGGTACCTCAGAGTTGTTTTGATTTGTATTTCTCTAATCAATAATGATTTAGAGCATTTTTTCATGTGACTATAGATGGCTTTAATTTCTTCATCTGAGAACTGTCTGTTCATATCCTTTGACCATTTATCAATTGGGGAAATATTTTCCCTTTTTTCTAACATATCCTTGCCAAAGTTTGTTTTCCTTCCATAATGCAGATAATAGTTGACTTTAATTTATAACTAAAAATGCTTCTAACAAAGGTGTTTGGTTATCATCAAGTAATGTGTACTGTCTGAAGATATTAGTACTAATATGCTAGTCTTGATGTACAAAAAGATATGTTTAGCTTAATTGGTAGTAGTGGAGTTACTCTGATTCTCAACATTTTTCATTAGTGATTCCCCTCATGACCAAAGGCAACACAGTTGGCATAGATGTGAAATAAATCAAAACCAACTAGTGAGGAGGGGAGAATCCAAACCATGATCATGACCTCTTTACCACCATGACCTAACCAATGGAGATAACCAGTCATGTAATGAAGAAAATAGACTCCTTACCATCTAGAATTTTAGAGGATCACGGTATATTCTAATTTGGTCTTTATTGCAGTGAGCCAAGTACTTAATCTTAACCTTCTTATCTAAGTGACCATACCTAGGGGAGAAATTCATTTGTTTAGCGTGCACAAATTCTTGGTCTTAAACATGCACTTCTTCCTTGCAGTCTTGTCTTGTAATTTTCTCCCTAGTAGTTTGTGAAAAACATTCTAGGGAGAGGGAATTCTGCTCATTATCTATTGCTTCCTTTGTTAAAGCAGAGTCCCTTTTATTTTTTAACTGGTCTTACAATTTCTGCACTCTGTAGTGTTGCAGTTAATTTCGAGCTTCTGGTTCCACAGAAAGTGGATGATCACTTCACTTATGGCAATAAGCACCATGGACCAACAACCTAGTATTTTAATAGTGGTCTAATTTTCATGCAGATACCCTTTACTCAAGAACATCATTGCCTTTACATACATTTTTTAAAATGCTCTGCCTTATGAACATTTTTGAATGCAAGGTAGTAGCAATTTATTAGAAAGTCGTACAACGTATAAAGAATAGAGTTGGATAGATTGTGCCTTGTTTTTATTTCACATGCTGTAAAAATAACCTATCAAAAGATCTACAAAAGAGCTGAGAATCTCACGCTCAAAAGGCTGAAAACCTCTCATGCCCGCTCGTCCTTATGGGTGTCACCTGGCCCTAAGTGTTTTATCACTAATAAACTTTTCCTCTGGCTGAAAAAAAAAATAACCTATCAAACACTTTGTTTAAAAATGGAGAGGGCGGGGTAGCTAGGTGGCACAGTGGATAGAGCACTGGTCCTGGAGTTCAAATCTGGCCTCAGACACATAACATTCACTAGCTGTGTGACTCTGGGCAAGTCACTTAACCCCAACTGCCTCACCCCCAAAAAAAAAAAAAGGTGGAGGGGGGGAATCAATCAGTTCAAATTGAACTAGAGTTTAAGGTTAGATATCCATTAAAAGGAAAAAAAAGATTAGATATCCATTTGAAGGGATTTAGGGATTCCTGTTGTTTCCTTACCTGCAATTTAACTAACAGATTGGAAGCTAGAACTCAGAGGATGAAAATGTATGGATCTGAGGGAATGGAATAAGTATCATCTGGTCATGTATTTATACATTGACACTAAAAATTACAAATTCCCCCTCTGTATTCTACATGTAATTTAAAATATAATAGTCTTATCTCTGATATTAGAATCAGAAAGATAAAAGGCCAGCTCTTTGGGTGTAGGCTATAGAATATTTGTGTCAAATACTAAAGGCAGATATCATTGAAGTCCTTTTTTCTCTTGAGACAGGTAAGAATTAGTGGATTAGAGAATCTTCTCTCTTCTCTAGTGAAATATTTTCTTTGCTGTGTCAAGTAGATAAGAACATAGTGGAAAGTCATCCAGTACAGAGTTAACCTTAATAATCCTTTATCAATAAAGCTTTGAACTAATTATTGCCGTGGAAAGGGTTTGGATTTTGTAATGAAATATATTTTCATATAACATGGTATGTTCTTCCTGAAGATGTTTGTATAGTGGTAAAATAGGTAACGTTGATGAGGAAATAATGTAGAAATGGCCGTAATATTTTTATTTAATAGTGTCCATCTTAATTAGTGCAATTAGAATGTCTAGTGGTCAGAAGTTGTAACTTTCCACTGTTTCACTCAACTAACCAGCCACCTTCTACTTTCTGTTCAAAGCTAGAACACAGCCAATACTGGATATGGACTTTGAAAGTGTGGCCTTGCTTTTTGGTGTAGTCTTCCATGAAGTTTACTCCTGCCCTTTACCCAACATGATTTCAGGGTAAAAATAGTGAAAGATAGGTGTTGGGCACAAACCTAACTAAACCTGTCCTTTTTAGGATTGACTGGCTTGCCACAACCAGCTGTCC